AGGCTCTCCCCCCTGGGCAGGGCAGCGGGGGGACCCGGAGCAGCTGCTGGCTCTGGGGCTCGGGCAGGGCTGGCTTCCCCCTCCCCAGGGGGGTAGGTGGGGAGGAGCTGGGGTTGCAGGGAGGGGCGGCTTTGCTGGCTTGTGCTGCTGCTGCGCATACTGGAGCCCCCCCGCATGTCCGTCATGCATGACTGTGCTCACCCCTCCCTGTGCCATGGGCTCCGGGCCCCGTTCCGAGCTATATGAGAATAAAGGGGCATTGTGCCCTCGCTGCACCGGCTCTCGTGGTCTGTGTCCTCGCTCCCGGCCTCCTGCCACCAGGAGGGTCCGGCTGGCGTTGGCCCAGTGCTACCCCCTGCGCTCCCTGCGCTGTGGTCGGCTCTGTCCCAGCCACATTCAACGGGGTAGTGCAGCCACAGCGTGTGGCACGGGCAGGTGGGGGCTGGTGCCCAGTCTGCCTGGCGGCATCCCCCCCACCCACAGCCCGTGGCCAACAGGGCCTGGCCTCTGGTGCTCCCACAGCCAGCAGCAATGCCCTGGCACCTGCAGGTTGACACGGGGCCAGCTGGAATCATCCCTGGCATTGCTCCCAACTCTGCCCAGGCATCCAGCCCCAGCCGGGCCTCACTTCCCGGCATGGCAGCTCCCAACGACCGTGTGTCCTAAGTCTGTCTCACAGCCCCTTCCCCAGTGCAGCCGCAGCCTGGGGCTGGCTGGGGGTAGAGGCTGTGGCTGGCACTGCCTGGGGCATTGCTGTGCACTGCCCACGTCCCAGCTGTGCTCCTGGGACCCATGCTGGAGCCCAGCCTTGGGGCAATGGGACCAGCCAGCATCACCCACACCTGCTTCTTCAGGTCTGCCTGGCCGTGGCCACCGCTGGACCCTACTACCCACAGGCAGTGCATCCTGGAAGTGCCCCAGGGAGCATGTAGGCTGGGACCCACGCCCAGAGTAACTGCATTGCACCAAGTGCCCCCGGGCCAGAGGATGCAACCCAGCCATGCCCGGTGCCCCACAAGTGCAGACTGTGCCCAGCCCAGCAGTAGCTGCTGGAGACCTGGGCCAGCACTCGTGCTGGCTGCCTACGTGCTGGCCCCCCAAGTCTGTGTGGAGACAGGGCTCCAAGCAGCTGAGCTGCCCCTGACCAGGCTTGCTGCGCCCCTGCCCTCCCACTGCCCAGGGCTCATGGCAGCTGGGGGAGCCTGTGGCGGGGGGCATATGGGACAGGTTGGGGCTGCGGGTGCAGGCTGTTGCTCTGGGGCTGCCTGTGAGCATTGGTGCAGCAACCCGGTTTTTGCCTGCCAGGCCCCTGTCCTCCCCTCCCCACCGTGGCCCTGGACGGCCCGTGCACGTTACCCAGCAGCTGCACCCCCCAGATAGCGCGCTCTTCCCCCGCCCCGCGTGCTCGGCCAGGGATGGGAGCTGCTGGCTCCTTATCTATGAGCAGACACGCAGGCTGGGGTATGGGGACAGCCCCCAGGTTTGGCTACCCCACACCTCCTGCCTGCCTTGGGGCCTGCTTCCTGGGCTGTGGGGCAGGCTCCTGGCCTGGGCTTTAGCAGGTGTCTGCTGCCTTGCCTTTGCCCAGGGTCCCAGCCCCTCCAGACTGAGCAAGGGCAGTTCTGGGACCTGCAAGAGGAGCTTGGGGTGGGAAGCTAAGGTGTCTGGTACCCTCTGCTCCCTGGGGCTGGTGCCCTCCTCCCCTGCTGCAGGCTGCAGCCAGGCCAGGACAGGCAGAGGGAGGCGAATGGCTCTCCTCAGGTGTTGGGGGCAGCAGCAATCCCAGGCGAAGGAGCCGCAGCAACCACCCAACGGCAGGCCCATGGGTGCTGGGAGCCACGTGCCAGCCAGTGCCCTGGGCCGTGGAGCTGGGGCAGCCCAGCCAGGTCCATGTCTCTGGCCTGGAAGAACCTGGCTGGTCCCACAGCCTGTGCTGAGCCGGGGGCTCCGTGTCGGTGTCACTGCTGCTCCCCGTCTGCGCACCCAGATACCCGTGGCCGTGTCCCACCTGTCCCGGCCTGGGGTAGGGCTCTGGGTGCACCTCCTCCCTCAGCCCTGGGCCGTGGCGCCTGGTGCAGCGTGTGGTCTGCACGGGCTCGGGGGCTGACGCCTGGTCGCTTCCCCAGGGCCACAACACAGATGCCCCTGTGACATGATGCTGGCCTGGTCCCCAGGCTAGGAGTTGGGGGCTGTAGCAGCCCTGGTAGGGTGCGGCGGCTCTGCCAGGTGCCTGGGCTGGACCCCTGATAGGCCAGCGGCTGCGGCTTATCAGTGTCACCCGGTCCCCCCAGCCCTTATCACGGGGCCCTGGACCACGGCTTCCAGGAACTCGGTGCCTCCCTCCCCGCCGGCAGCACAAACAAGCCCCCCAGGCACGGCACACGTGTCACGGGACTCATCGTGCAGACGTGTAGCCCCACGTCTGTCAGGCAGACAACACCCCTGGCTCTGGCTCTGTGAGCCCCACGCACAGCTGCTTGCGCGCACGCACACACGCCATAGAAGCCTGCACATACACATACACGCACGTGCAATACCAGCCTGCATACGCACAGTGAAGCTGTGTTTGCACATGCACCTATCATAGCAGCCTGCATATGCATGTGCACACACACGCATGCTATAGTATCCTTCACATGCACAGTGCAACTGTGTTCATATGTGCACATACACACATCATAGCTGTCAGCACACATACAGTGCAGCTGAGTTCCTGTGCGCACACATGCACATGCCATAGCATCCTGTACATGCATGGTGCAGCTGTGTTCATATGTGCACGCACGTCATAGTGCAGCCATGTTCATGTGTGCGCACACATCACAGCCCGCACACACACACAGCAGCTGTGTCCATATGTGTACACACACACACACGTTATAGCATCTTGCACACACACAGTGCGGCTCTATTCATATGTGCACACACAACAGCCGCTTGCACACACAAAGAGCAGCTGTGTTTACACATGTACACACACGTGTGTGTATGCACACACTGTAACAGTCTGCACATGCACAGACCAATTGTGTTCTTTGCCCTATATGCACACATACACGTGTGTGCTGGGCTTTGGCTGGCGTTGCCAGTGCCAGGCTGCTTTCCTCCATGGTGCCCCACGGGCAGCAGGAATCCCTGGAAGACCTCACCCCTGCGGGCAGCACGCAGGTGTGGGCACATCTGGCGCGGCTCTTTGGGGCCCGGTCTCCTCTGCGGCTCTGGGCTGGGGTGGCTGCCATGTAGTTGAGCCCCTGCCCGGGTGTCCCAGCTGGACCCGCTCGCCCTGTGCCTCTGGCCACCCTACTCCCGCAGGTGACCCCCGCAGCAGGGCCTGGCTGCTCCATGTCTCCCCGCTGAGGCTGGGGGCTGTGTCTGTGTCCGTATCCATGCCATGGGGCAGCGTGCAGCAGCCCCCTGCCCCTGCAGCTTGCTGGATGGAGCACCGGGGCCTGGTCCGGCCAGGCTGGTCCTGCAGGGCTCCAGTCTGTGTTTGGCACCATTGCCCTGTGGCTGCCACGTCCGTGGGGCACCGTGGAGCCCTGGGCAGGGGGGCAGGACACAGAGCTTTGCAGAGCCTGGCCCGTGACAAGGAGCCCCCAGTCCAAAATGCTTCTCTGGGGCATGGGGAGGACGGGAGGGGGCCAGGGGCTTTTCTGCTCCCAGTCTCCAGGGCCCTTCCCTGCATGCGCTTGCCGTGCGTGGGGCTGACACCAGGCCGACCTGGGTTTGCCGGGTGGACCACAACACGGGCAACATGTACAATGGGGCTTCAGCCCCAGGGCGGCTGCAACAGGCCTTTCCCAGGGCGAGGGTGCCTGCAGGGCTATGCGGGAGCTGGGGGTCTCCCTGGGCTGCTGCTCGGGGATGGGGGGCAGTGCGTTTGCCCTGGGCAGAGGCAGGTCCTGGCCCCAGATGGGCAATGGGGACCTGGGACACTTCTGCCTCTGCCACTGCCTGCCTGCACTGCCCTTGGGCGGTGGGACAGCCCTAGCTGCGCTGCGCCAGGCCAGGCGGAAAGGGGTTAAAAGGGAAGGTCTCGATGCCAGCGATCCTTGATATGCAAACGAGGCTGCGGGAGCAATTATAAGCAGCTGGGCTGGAGCCGCCAGCTCTGGAGGGGGACCAGGATGCGCACCCCCCCTCACCCAGACAGCCAGGCCAGGCCAGGCCAGGCCAAGTAAGTATGGGGCCCCATGGGGAAGGGGCTTGTGCCCCCGTGGTTTCAGCTGGGGTGCACCAATGGCACCCTGCAGACACACTGGGGCTCCCCAGGGCACGGCTGGCCTCGGCTTCCAGCCAGGAGGGTGGGAAGCTCCGGGGTGGCCGGGGCTGGAGCACCCGGAGCAGCTCGTGGGGTCCCTCCCGCAGCTTTGTCTGCACTGCCCCGCGGCCCCACAGCCACGGGCCTGGTGCCCTGCCCAGGGTGGGCATTGCCACTGGCTCAGGGCAGCCCCAGCCCTGCCTGGCACCCCACTAACGCCGCTTTCCCCTGGCCCCCAGGTGTGACCAGCGCGGCAGCAGGCAGCCCGGCACGCGCGGGGGGCTCTGGGCAGGATATCATCGTATACTGTAAGTCGGCTATGAGATACTACAGTATAGATGATGTACTACCCCGGCCTCTCCTCTCCTCGGCACCCAGCGCAGCCCATGTCGTCCCAGGGGTGGCAGGAGCAGGGGCGTAGGCAGCGGGCGTCGGGGGAGGGGGTGGTGCGGG